GTCGCATCCTAAACCCACCTGTTTTATAGCTGTCGCTCGGGCTCCCTAGACATAGGGAGGAATACGGAATATTTGTAGTAGGGAGGAAGTAGGCTTGCTGGCTTGGACAGAAAGTTGTGTTGGGGAGGAGTGAGAAATTGGCCATTTGTGTAAGGCCGCCTCCCACTACTTCCTTCTTTTTATTTAAGCACACTTTGTCCTTTCCTACTGATGTGGGAAGAATTTGTTTTAGAGGTAGCCGCTTACCCGTTTTGTAATGTTGGGTACATTTTAACATCTTCCAGCTCCAGTTCCCCCACCAGTAAGCTGAGCATAATACTTCCACTCGGGGCCGGATGTGGTGACACACACGGCTAGGACTCAGCTCCGCAGGCTCAGGCTGCAGGGGAGGCCTCCAGGTGCACAGGGAAGGCTGGGCTATTTCAAGACTGAGGAGGTGAGAGGTAGCTTTCCTGAGCAATGTGTAGGCTTGGGCTTCTTGAATCTGCTCATGATTTGCATCCTAGTGAAATGTATGCCACTTCTAAAATAACTTTATGTTGGAACAATAGGTAACATTAGCAAGGCACTGAATCTGCAAAATGCCTTAAAATCCATTGAGTGTTTGAGTCTTGTAATAACCCCATGAGGTAAGTGGAGCAATCTGAGTAATTCTGTTTTCAGATAAGGAATAAATTTAGGAATTGAGACCAGCCTCATGTCACACAACCAGTAAGAGTAGAGCCGAAACAGAACCTGGGCTTCGGGCTGGCAATGTCAATGTTGATGCCTTTTCCATTATTATTATTGTACTTTTATTATGCTGTGTAATTATTAGTTTTTTTTTAGAGAGAGATTTTTGCTATAGGGCATATGTGCTTGCCATAGAGACAGAAAGCAAGAAATCATCCCCAGAGGTGATGGCCATGCCACAGTCCCTGCTGCTCTATTCTCCTCTTGGGATCTTGGGCATATATGCACACATGCCCATTTTAAGTAGCCAGGTCTGGGACTCGAACCGCAGTCAACTATGTGGGAGTCCAGCAACGTAACCATTATGTCATCTGCTGGTCCTTGTTTTTTAAAAATTCAACTTAGTTCACTTCTTGTAAACATTCACTGGAAAATATTTACAGAGCACCTGTGTAGACTGTGCACCATGTTGCTGAGAGAAAGTGATAAACTAATAGTTACAACCGAAGAAAAACATACTTTGTAATTTGGAGACATAATACGTTTTTTCATAGTTTTTGCTATGGGACACTCTTGCTTGCCAGAGAAAGAGACAGAGAGAGAGAGACAGAAATCACCCCCCTTGGGGACTAGCCACACCACAGTCCATTCTCCTCCATTCTCTCTCGGGAGGTTTGGCATGCATGCTCATGTGCCCAGCATGATTTTTCAAGCTGCAGAGTTTGGGACTTGAACCACACAGCTGGCTATGTGAGATCCAGTGCCTTCACCTCCATGCCACCTGCTGGCCCAGTAAATGTTTTTTGATGACAGCATGAGAATAACTTCTATCCCAAAGTTAGTATAATTGACTTTTGTAAAACGTGGGAGAAAGAAACCACCTATGTCCATGAGTGTAATCCCCTCCACCAGGGAAAATCATCTGAATTTTACATTTCAATAAGTAACTGGCGTTTTCTTGGCACATTAGTCTGTAGGAAATTACAGGCTTTGGTGTTGTAGTAGATCTTCAGAGAATGTCAAGTAGATTACAGTTTTATTTTACTTTGATGTCGCTGTCTGGCATGGTTTTGGTCTTTTCCTTTCTAACAAATACATTTGCTAGCTCTTATTTCAGCATCATGTTTAAAAAAAGAGAATGTGTGATTGTTTCCTTTGCGAATAGCATCTTTCTTCTGTGATGATAAAGATTGTGCTGACTTCTGCCCTCTCCCCTATCTGGGTCACAGTCAGCTGCCGGTCTGCTCATCCTTGTCAGTTCTCCAGGGTGACTCGTGGCTCGAAGCAGCGTCCTCCTCACAGAGGAAGAGCAGTCAGAGATGGAAAGATCAGGGATTGGCCCACGGCCTAGTGGTTAGGGAAGCTGGATCCCACATGGCTGATTATGGTTTGAATCCTGGACCCAGCAGCTTGAAAAACAAGCTGTGTGTGTTTAAGTGTACATGCCCCCACGTCCTGACAGGTTGGAGAAATGGAGAGAAGGGATGGTGGGGTGGCCGTGCCCTCTGGGGAGCGCTGTCTCCCTCTTTCTCTCTGCTGTGTGTCTGTGTTCTCTGTTTCTCCAAAAACAGAGAGATCAAAGATCAAACAGAACAGTGTGTGTAGAGTGTTAGATCTAGAAACAAAACAAAAGTATAAAACTCCCCGTGTAGTGAAGAATTACTTTTTCCACAGAGAAGTCTGCCTGGCCCTCGGCTACGGGGAGATGGTCTCCACGTCCCTGGAACGTCCTGCCTGATAACTTGGAATGTGTTTGCCTGGGGAGCTTGGCCACCAGATGGTCAAACAGCATGATGCATTGGAGGCTTTGGAAGCTGCAGAAAAACTGGAGCCAAAGCTTGGCCATGCAGGCAGTACATCTTCCAGCCCCAGTAAAAATTCTGGACACTGGGGGCCAGCAGGTGGTATGGAAGTTAAGGCCGCTGGATGCCACATGGCTGACCACAGTGGGAGTTCCTGACTGACAGCTCGAAAATCATGCCAGACATGTGTGTGCGTGCCCAAAATCCCAAGAGGAGAATGGAGGAGGAGGGATTGCGGTGTGGCCATCTCCCTGGGAGGTGACTTCTTGCCCCCTTCCCCGTCTCTGTCTCTCTCCGGTGAGCACATGTGCGCTATAGAAAAAACTTAAAACAAAAACAAAACAAAAAAATGCTGGACCCCAAAGGTGTGGATGAACTTCCCTGGCCGGAATGTAGAGGTAGCCTGGAGAAGGGAGCAGTGTCAGGTTCCACAGGAAGAGATTGCCGAAGCTTTAGTGCCTGGGCCCTGCCCAGATTTTGCCCCATGTGTCTCCTCTTTTGGTTCTGATTTGTATCATTGGGTTGTAATAACACTTTAATTGTAAGCATAGTGTTTTCTTGAGTTATATGAATCATTTTGGCAAGTTAGCGAACCTGAGGGGCTAAGTGGAACCCCTGAACTTATCGCTGGTGTGTGAAGTGAGGGCAGCCTGATGGAGGGCTTTACCCTTTTCTTAGGAAGTTTGGCCTAACTCCGGGTAGCTGGGGTCAGGCATCAGTGCATGTCCCCAGGCCTATTTTTAGATGTAGATTCTGGCACTTTCTATCTTGGCTACTTCTCTTGGCTTGAATTTTTTTATCCCTACTTTGGGGGTCATCCCTGTCCTATTTTGTTCACAGGGTTAATTAAAACAATAAAAAGTTAAGTAAATATGAGTCAGCAGGTGGTTGGAGGTTAAGGCAGTTGGATCCCACATGGCTAACTGCAGCTTCAGTTCCAGACCCAGTGGCTTGAAAATCATGCCGGGCATGTGTACCTGCGTGCCTAAAATTCTGAGAAGGGATTGTGGTGTGGCCATGCCCCCTGGGGGGTGATTCTCACTTTCCTTCTCTCTCTGTCTCTGGCAAGCTCATATGTCCTATAGCAAGCAAACAAGCAAACACAATTAAGTGAATAATATGTGTGAGAGTTATTAATAGCAAACAAAAAGGGTCAGTAGATGGCGTAATGGTTACATCATTGGACTCCCACGTAGTTCGAGTCCTAGACCTTGCTGCTTAAAAACTCATGCTGGGTGCGTGTGTGTGCGTGCCCAAAATCTCGAGAGGAGAATGGAGGAGAAGGGATTGCAGGGTGGCCATCCCTCTCGGGGTGGGGGGGTGATTTCTCACTTTCTGTCTCTCTGTCTCTCTGGCGAGTGCACACGCCTTACAGCAAAAAGTCTCTCTCTCAAAAACAAAAAACAGCAAACAAGAATATGCTATTTAAATGAACAGTGGAGTAGGCTGGACAGTGGAACAGTGGTGAAACATGATGCTCTGTGAGACTGAGGTCACATGAAAAGGTTCTGGGTTCACCTCCAGAGACAAACCTGAGTGCGTGCATAACTGTGATCAGGGCTGGCTGAGGTTGGGTGTGGAGCATAGTGTCAAGGCTTATGGGGCAGGGCTGTCTCTCTGTCTCCCTCTTTGTCTCTCTAGCTCATGGAAAAAATAATATTTTTTTTAAACAAAGAATTTATTTATTTATTCTTCGAGAGGTTTTTGCTATAGAGCGTGTGTGCTCGCCAGACAGGCAGAGAGAGACAGAGAGACAGAAAGCGAGAAATCACCCCCCAGGGGGGATGGTCACGCTGCAATTCCATCTCCTCCATTCTCCTCTTGGAATCTTGTGCACTCATGCACACACGCCTGGCGTGAGTTCTAAGCCACCAGGTCCGGGATGCGAACCGCGGTTGACTACGTGGGAATCCAGCGACATAGCCATTACGCTAACTGCTGGTTCCCAACAAAGAATTTATTTTTTAAGAATTATTTTATTTTAACTTTATTATTATTTTCCAATTTGACCAGAGAGATACAGAAAGAGAGAGAGGGAAAGTGAGAAAGGAAATCAGTAGGTCTGGGACCTGAACATGGTTGGCCATGTGGGAGTTCAACACCTTTAACCACCATACACCTGTTGCTGACCCTGAAATAATAATAATTTTAAAAATTTCAAGGGCCCCAAAATATATTAAAATTATGATAATGGAACTAAATAGTTTAGGAGGAGAATGTGAAGAAAGTGTGGATAGGTTAGGTAAGACTTTATTTAATCATTCATTACACAAATAATGATTGGATTTGTGTTATGTGCTGGATGTTGAGAAGATAACAGTGAACAAGCCAAGGCCCTGCCCCCATAGGGCTTATATTCTGTTCAGAGAGAGAGAATAAATGAGGTGAATCATGAAACTCTGGTCATTGTTGGGAAGGGCACAAACAGAGTGATGATGTAACAGTTTTGTTGGATACAGCTTCTTGAGACCCTGAGTGACCACAGAAGGGATTTCTGGAACCTAACTTTTTTTTTTTTTTTTAAAGGTCTCCATATTTATTACTGAACCAACCTACCAACGCAGAACTTAGAGACAAGGTGAAGCATCATTTTTTTCCAGTAAACACAAGTGTCCAGGCACTGGTGACCATTTTCAGTTTGATGAGGCAAGACCATAGTGACCTTGGTACAGCATAAATATGTGGCCCACATCCTGTCCAGTTCCTCCTAGACCCAGCGTGGTTCTTCTCCAGTGTCTCCTCTTGGAGCTGTATCTGATTTTATTACCAGTTTCATTCTAATCCACTGGGGAATGGGACGATTTTGCTTCTGTTTTTTGGCCAAAAACCACTTGATTCTGAAAGTCTTGTGAGAACACATGGGGAAAAGCCAAGTGGACCGCACACACCACGATGGCAGAGAAAGGAAGAGCAGGAAGTTGACTCTTTTTTTTGAGAGGTTTTTTTTTTTTTTTTTTTTGCTGTAGGCCACGTGCGCTCGCCAGACAGACAGAGAGACAGAGAGATAGAAAGTGAGAAATCACCCCCCAGCGGGGATGGCCACGCCGCAATCCCTTCTCCTCTGTTCTCCTCTTGGGATCTTGGGCACGCACGCACACGCGCCCAGTGTGAGTTTTAAGCCACCGGGTCCGGGACACAAACCGCGGTCGACTACATGGGAGTCCAGCAACATAGCCTTTATGCTAACTGCTGGTCCCGAAGCTGACATTTAAATAAAGATTTTAAGGAAGAGAATGCGAGTATTTTAGGCAGAGAGAATAACAAGGATGAAGGCCCTGAGGTGAGAAAGAAGTTGGTGTGTTTGAAGAATGGAGAAGATGTGTGTGAGGATTGGGGATAGCAAGGTTGGAGATGTATGATCAGGGCCTTATTTTTATTTGTTTATTTTTTAGGAGATTTTTGCTATAGGATATGTGAACTGGCCAGAGAAAGACAGAGACAGAAAGTGAGAAATCACCCTCTGGGGGAATGGCCACGCCCCAGTCTTTTTCTCCTCCATGCTCCTCTTGGGAGTTTGGGTACAATCACACATGTGCCCAGCATGAATTTGAAGCCACCGGATCTGGGATTTGAACTGTAGTTGGCCACATGAACTTTAGCCCAGCACCTTAACCATCACACCACTTATTGGCCCTGGGGTCAGGGCCTTAGTTGTTGGAAATGATTTGAATTTTTAAGGGAGTCATGAAGTCTGGATGGTATTAAGTAGACAAGTGACATGAATTGCTTTTTTTATGAGGTTTTTTTTTTTTTTGCCTTAAGGCATATTTGCTTATAGGAGAGAAAGAGACTGAGACAGTGAGAGGGAATGTAAGAAAACACCCCTGGGGGGATGGCCATGCTGCAATCTCTTTTTCTCCATTCTCTTCCTGGGATCTTGGGCACGCACACACACACGCCCGGAATGACTTTCAAGCCACCAAGTCGGGGACTCAAACCGCAGTCAGCCATATGGGAGTCCAGTGACATAAATGCTACGCCGTCTGTCTTTAAGAAGACCTCCCTGAATGGGGGCAGGGAGAGATCGCCAGGAGATGTGTAGTTATTCAGGTGAGGAGCTTGCTGACGAGAGACACATGATCAGATTCTAGAAACACTGGTCCTCTCTCATGCCTGGCTGTGACATGAACGGCAAGTACAGACCAGCCTGTGAAAGGTGAGGTTTTCAGGGGTTCGGCCCCCCTTGAAAATAAAGGTCTGTGTTACAACACCAGATAAGCCACCAGATTGGGAGAGATGGAAGCGGTATCATCTCTGGCAGAGAAGAAGAGCAGAGTTTAGGGTAGATAATGGAAGAGGGGGTGAAGAGTCAGATCGCAACCCAGGACCAACTGCAGTAACAGCTTGTGGTTACCCCGTGGGGCCACCGGTTTAGGTCCTTTCCAGGCTGTACAGTGTATCACCCGAGTGTGGCACATACCCCTGGCCTACTGTGGACTAGCAGTTTTACTTTTTATTGGCCATGTTGGCTGGGGGAGGTGGTGGTGGAAAGGGCACAATTTCAGAGGCTTCCATTTGACTGCCCCGTCCCGGGTGCCACTTCAGGCTGCAGCCCGGCACGTCACCCAGCATGTAGGCTGGGGCAATGTCCCTAGGTGTCGAATGTGTTGCTTCCAGATTCCAAAGAGGCCCTCCAGTCCTTCTGTTCCCATCTCTGTGGAGAGGATGTTCCAGTACGCCCCTGACAATTGGACCCCCGAACACTTGACTGAAGAGGCAGGTCCCAGAATCTTCACAGAGTTTATGTCCCACTCTCCAGAGCATACGTAGCTTACCAAGGCTTCCAGGTGCTAGCCGCGCTCGCTCATTCGCCCCCAGGGGACTAATGTCATTGATGCAATGGAGCGCTGCGATGTTCTGTGGGAAGTCCAGATGGTCCAGATCTTTTCTGCATACATCATGACGTAGGTTGGGAGAGTTAACGGAGCCTGGGGGAGGGAGTGGGGACTAAGTGAAATTGTTGTACAGTCCGTGTAAATGCTGTTTCCGATCTTCTTTCCTAATTGATGTAAAGAAGAATGCATTTGCCAAATCAAATCAGGTCATGCGCTTGGAGCCGTATTTAATTCCTACCAGTGAGACTGTCCCCAGCATGGTGGCCAGAATCAGGGCTGAGCTGGCAATATCTAATCATTCTCCAGGATCCCTGTTTTCACAGGGCCGCGCTGTGAGTTAGAGGTGTGATGGGACCACTATCCCTGCGTTCTTGAGAGCAAGGTAACACTGGTTACCGTCTTCTCTCCAAAATGGGGTGTTGTTTCTTATTGACCATCTTGGCTGGGGGTAGTGCTGGGAGAAAGGTACAGTTTCAGAGACTTCCATTTGACCTTCCCCACCACGATAGCTCTTATACCATAAACCAAGGCCCCCACGTGGGTACTTCTCCCACTGCCAAATGTATCCATTCCAGACACGCATTCAGGGACTGGGGCAACAACCACCAGCTGGGGCCATGGACCCAGAAGACCCGCTCTAAGATAAACTTCAGCCAGGACTCCATTTTTACTTGGCTTATCCAAAACCCTCTACTCTAATGGGTTCCAAAATGATATTTCAGGGGCCAGCAGACGGCATGGTGGTTAAAAGCACTGGACTCCTACATGGCCGGCTGCAGTTCAAGTCTTGGACCTGGTGGCTTGCTTTCTCACTTTTCCTCTCTCTCTGATCAAACCGATAAAATTTAAAAAATGATATTTCATGTCTATGAATATCAGTGTCAATTCAGGCTCTATGTCCATTAGTCTTTCAGGTGTTAAAATATGCCCACTCCCCCGGTGTATGGTCACGTGAATAAATGGTTTGAAGGCCCTCTGTGGAAAGCGCTGGTGGAATGATTAGACTATGAACTTGCTATGTTATTGTAGGGTCCTTCCTCCTGGGAACTGGCACACTTTCATCAATAGATTTCAGATCTGAAAACTGTCTTGGGTCTAGGAAATGGACAAGGAATTTTTCTTTCTTTTTAATGTTTTTAAAAAATCTTTATTTTCAGGACCAGCAGTTAGCGTAATGGCTATGTCGCTGGACTCCCACATAGTCGACCACGGTTCGTGTCCAGGACCTGGTGGCTTAAAACTCATGCCAGGTGCATGTGCGTGCGTGCCCAAGATCCCGAGAGGAGAATGGAGGAGAAGGGATTGCGGCGTGGCCATCCCCTCTGGGGGGTGATTTTTCGCTTTCTGTCTCTATGTCTCTGTCTGTCTATCTGGCGAGCGCACGCACCCTATAGCAAAAACCTCTCAAAAAAAAATCTTTATTTTCAATTGTGGTAAAAAGCATAACAAAAAATATACCTATATCATGTGTAAGTGGATAGTTCAGTCGTGTGAGGTATTTTCACAATATTGTGCAACTGAGTTCCAGAACTTTTTTTTTCTTTTTTTCTTTTTGAGAGGTTTTTGTTATAGGGCGCGTGCGCTCGCTGGAAAGACAGAGACAGAGAGACAGAAAGCAAGAAATCACCCCCAGGGGGATGGCCACACCGCAGTCG